TCCTCAGGACTCAACCTCATGAATGTCTAGGGTTATAGCCATGAGCCATCAGATCTGGCTTCCTATCATTTTCACAGGTCTCAGGATTTAAACATTTTGTAATGATTTGTTATATCAATATTTTCTTTGCATGCTAGTTGAAAACTTACTTAAAACTAATACTCTACTGATTGCCATAAGAAAGTTGAATAGCAATTAGTTCAGTTTCTTTAAAAGAAAAACAAAATGGGTATTTTAAGTATTCATTGTGTTATGAATTCTTGTTTTTGTTTCTTTTTAAAAATTTTTAGTGTTATTATAAAGGTCATAAACAGAGAGGTTATAGTTACATAAGTCAGGAAATGAGTACATTTCTTTTTGGATAATGTCACTCTGTGTTATGAATTCTTATATTTGAATTATTCTTTGGCAAACATCTGAGTTGGAGTTATTTCTTTAAAAAATGAATAGGATTATAGACTTTTTAGTAAGGTATAATCTTGTAAATTATTAAAAATTTTATTTTTGTAGGCTGTTTGCTGTTTTATGGATTTTATGCTTGTCAGTATTCTTGAAGGTAAGTTGTTTAGTATAGTTGAAATATAATTCTGGCCATGTCAATGTGAATAACTCCAAAGAGTTGAAATTACACTCAGAAGACACTGTAACATTTGTATGTGGAATGATTATACAGTAATCTCTAAAAAAAACAAGGTCTTGAATTGATCATTATTACTTATTGAAAGAAAGATGAATGACTGTGAGTGAGTTATATTACATAGGAAAAAGTGCGTGTGGGATTAGATACCAGTTGTTCATGCCTATAATAAATGGCTGAAATCTGAGAATCTAGTCACAAAATCACAGCTAGCCACAAGTCTTATTACCAGTTCACCAGCAAAAAGCCAGAAGTACTGGGTGCCAGTGGCTCACACTTGTAATTCTAGCTACCCAGGAGGCTGAGATCTGAGGATCACAGTTCAAAGCCATCCTGGGCAGGAAAGTATGTGAGACTCTTATCTCCAATAAACCACCAGAAAAACCACCAGAAGTGGTGCTGTAGCTCAAGTGGTAGAGCGCTCACCTTGAGCTAAAGAGCTGAGGGACAGTGCCCAGGCCCAGAGTTCAAGCTCCATGACTGACCAAAAAAAAAAAAAAAAGCCAGAAGTGCTTAAGTGGTAGAGCATCAGTCATGAGTAGAAAAGGCTGAGAGTTCATGGACCAGAGTTCAAGCCCAAGAACTGGCACAAGATACCCTACTCATCCCCCCAATAAAAAACAACCTCCCCCCAAAACAACAGCAACAACAAAAACACCCTGGTTTTTGCTTGTATCTGTGAACTTCCAAATGGCCCATTTGATTCTGAGAAATATATTTTAAAGCAATTTATAATTAGAATGATAATATTTAAAATCAAGTGGATAATTTAGCTGATATCTATTCAGTATTATTAGATGAGCAGTGGAAGTGTGATTATTAATTAATGGTGGTCTCAAGAACCAATTTACATATTTAACCACTTGCCTATAGATATTTTTTTATAGTGCGACAGTGGAGCTGGTCCTTTCTGCAGTGGGAGCCCTTCTTTTTTGCGGTTTCATCATCTATGATACACACTCCCTGATGCATAAACTGTCACCTGAAGAGTATGTATTAGCTGCCATCAGCCTCTATTTGGATGTTATCAATCTGTTCCTGCATCTCTTACGGTTTTTGGAAGCAGTTAATAAGAAGTAACTGAGAGCAGTATACAGAGACTATCATTATGTAATAAAAGTTGAAATATAATTAAATGTTGTTTAAAACTTTCATGGTCTTTATTGGCATTCTGTATTTTTGTGTGCCCTAAATTTACTATTTTTCATAACATCACATTTATAAAGTTTTTACTTAGAAACTCTTGTAAGAGATATCAGAATTCTGCTAAAATTTATTTTTGAAACTGAGTCTTACTATAAAGCAAGCCTAGGTTGACCTCAAACTTATTCCTTCTTCCAACTCACCAAGTGCTAGGATTATAGGCATGTACTACCACCATGCCCAATTTGGTTGTAATTTTTTTCATACCTAAATTAGCCATAGTTATTTCTGTGCCACTCAAAACTAAGTAGGCAGGTGTAAGGGCACCTTCAAGTTCATTGTTTTATATCAACTAAAGATGAAAATATGGACCCAAGAAATACTAAGCCAGTGGAACTAACAGGAAGTAGAGTAACAACAACTAATTTTATGCAAAAGACAGAGGAATAGAAGAAAATGGAAGTAGAAGGAAAATGAGAAAAGAGTAGGTTCTGAGAGCCTGCTGAGAAGCATTATTGCATATCATCAGACCAGTCTCCAATCCATTTGATACAGTTCTGGGGATTAGTAGTGTCATCAACCCATTGCAGCCTTTTTTTGAACAACTAGGCATTTACATTCCTTTTGCTTTTACCTTTTATCTTCATAGAGCTTAGTCCAGAAGTCTCCTGTATCTAAGGAACTGGCAATGTGGGGTCACCATCTGAATTTCAGAAATCTGTCTGTTTCTGATTAAGTCATGAAAATGGAGGATTCCATGGCTTCACACACTGGTGCCAGTAGCATAATCTGCTTTTGAGACAGGTTATCTGTTTTCCTGTCAGGTATTCAGCACTATCCATTGTGTATCTGGTTCCATAGCAGCCTTCCAGCTCCATAAGAAGTTATAACAATGCCTATTTTGACCTTTAAGTGTTATTCCTCTATCCAAAGAAAGTTGTTTGGGCCCCTCATCTCAGTATATTCAGGAAATTATTATATTTGAATGTTTAAATGAGGGCATGTGTTAGAATTTAAAAATTAATACTAAGGCCATTTGACTTCTGTTAGACCTACTTTTATACAAACTGATGAGGAATGTAAGTAACTTAATAATGCAGTCTGTAATTCTGCTTTTTTTTTTTCTTGCCAGTCTTAAGGCTTGAACTCAGGGCCCTGGGCACTGTCCCTGAGCTGCTTTTCACTCAAGGGTAGCACTCAACCACTTGAGCCACAGCACCACTTCCGGCTTTTTTCTTTTTGCTTATGTGGTGCTGAGGAATCGAACCCAGGGCCTCA